ATATATTTGTCTAAACCAGGGGTAGGCAACCTTGGCTCTTCTATGACTCATGGACTTCAACTCCCAAAATTCCTGAGTCAGCATGTCTGGTTCAGGAATTCTGGGCGTTGAAGTCCACGAGTCATAAAAGAGCCAAGGTTGCCTACACCTGGTCTAAACTAAATCACTTTCGGTTTTTAGATACTAGTTCTTATCATTACATTTCATTGTCCTCACACATCTAAAACAACCAACCAGATCTTATGTAATAAAAGTGGCTTTTGGGGATGAGAAGGAGTTTCTTATGCTTTTGCTAGTTTTCCCTCTTTCGTTTTTCACGTTTTAGTCACTAAAGAGAGAAACACTATCCATTTCTGTGAACTGTATGGGGACAATATCTAAAACCAGCAAAGAATATACTCATTTTTGGTATTGAATAGTGAAATCTGAGTCTTTCTTTCGAGCAAAAAAAAAAGCGAAATATTATGATGGGAAAAACTTTTTATCAGAATGAATTACTGATGCAGTTGAAGCGTTGCTGCAGTTATAGCTGTGTCACCTTGAATGCTCAGTTCATGCATAAGTTCCAGTATGTTTAATTAAGGAACCCTCTTGAATGTCCTATACAAGGCTGATAAAGGGCTGATCTCCCTGACTCTAGTGATACATGTTTCTGGCCAAATTGAGATTGCTAATACATCTTAATATTTTGTACTAAGGGGTGTACAGCAACAAAAATGGAATTTGAGGGAACTGTCTTTCCAAATTTATACGCAGAATGAAAACTTCGTATCATCTCAATAAAAATGAGAACAACTCATGTATTCCCTACCAAATAAGCACATATAGGAAGTCTGGCCTACTGAATGGCGATTTTTTGATCATGCATGATAAACGTACGTTAAATGTGTATTTCTTTATTAGCAGGCTATACATGGGCATCTGCAGGTAGATTGGGTGGAAAGAGAGTGACAAATGCATCATGACATCATCATACAAATACAAAGGCTGTGACTTAGCTCCTTGCATCAGATATTGTGATATCATCACATTACTGCACCACTTATACAATGATATCATGACTCATTTTGCTATCACAGCAGTTTGCTAATGAATTTGCTGAAGCTACCAGTGTTCAAAAACTGTCTCAAGGCCAGTTTCCCTAATTCCATTACATTAAAATTAAAGATGGGGGCAAGGATGGCAGTTCCAATATTGGCAACAAAATTGTCTGTGATTACTAAGGAGCAGTGTCCAATTATTCTTCACATCCTCTGTGTCTTAACATTAGCTCCAGCTCTACTCATACTAATACATGCCATTTGGTATAGGAAATACCCAGTTGGAGCAGACATTTAATATTAACTGATCATTTCCTATCAACAGAAAAAGGTGCACTCACTTGTTTTGTAAAAATAACTCAAAAGTCAGTGCAATTTACTCTAGAATGTACTTTCTGAGGACTGCACTGTATTTAAAAAAACAGTGTAAAGTTGAGTCTTGAGAGCCAAAGTTCTATACCAGGGGTAGTCAACCTTGGCTCTTTTATGACTCGTGGACTTCAACTCCCAGAATTCCTGAGCCAGCACAGCTGGCTCAGGAATTCTGGGAATTGAAGTCCACGAGTCATAAAAGAGCCAAGGTTGACTACCCCTGTTCTAGACCTTTCTTACCCATAAAGCTCACAGAATTGCCTTGGTCCATTCATTCTCAATCTAAACAATGAAAGAGGGCTGATACGATATATAAACTTGGGGAGCTGGGTAGGGAAAGAGTAAAAATACCAAGTATGAAAACAGTTAGTTGATGAGTTGTATAATAATCCAGCCGGTCTGCAACAATAAATAGAAACAATATTATTTTGCCCGTATGCATGGCAAAGTATGGCAAAGATTGAAATGGGGCGGGGGAATCCTTTCAAAACCAATAGAAGCAATCCTGACTTCATTCAAGACACACAAGGGTCCCAGCTGAAGATGGCTAGCCTTCTGAAGGAAGTGTTTTGTTACTTTATCACTAATGATAATAGAAGTGTATCAACAACCTTGGAACTAGAGAAATGCTTAAATGGGATTGTTGTACTATACAAAGTATAGCCAATATTAGAGATGCCAATGTCAAACTTTGCAGCAATTTCCCTGGTGCCAATAAGCAGCAACCAAAAGCCACTAAGTAAGGAGACAAGACATATGAGAGGTTGCACAAATCAGGATGCAGTGCATGTTGATTTGTTCACCTTTAAAAGAAACAAACATAAATGTTGACACACATTCAAAAGCTTGCATGATATTGCTTACCAAACTGAAACATAACTAGCCTTTCTATCGAAAATTGCACATTTTCATAAAGCACAAGTTCACTGAGCTTAGCCTACATAAACAAACACATTTTCCAGATGTCCATTGTTCAAAGCAAGTATGAGGAAGCATTTGCTGTGTTTATTATTGCAGTGAATGTAATTTGTGGAGTATACAGGAACACATGCAGCAAATTAGGCCAGTTCTGCATCACTATCATTTCCCTAAGGGTCAGTTTGGGGCAGGGGCAAAGCTGATACACCACCATTAGGTTTACATTAAACTTCAAGAGAGAAATAAGCCTGCACATGTTATCACGCAATCCACAATTACACCACCAAACTATATTGGGGAATATCTGTTGATGCCATTCCTTGGGCATAATAGCTTCTTCCTTCTTCATCCATCCCTTTCCTACTCCAGACTCTTATCAATTGCTCCAGAATAGTTTAGGAACACGTATCAGAGGCAAGCAGAGAAAGTTCTTTTGTACCAGCAACTGTCCATCAATCAGAGGAATTCCTTAGAAGCACAAGACGGATTATTATACATTCATCAATTAGCTAAATGTATCTTTGTTTATTGAAAGGAAATCTTGGTTTTTGGCTACTGTACAATGGAATGCAAGTGGCACAAACACAGACACTTTGTGTGAATGCAGGTGTGCAGATAAATGGTTGCATTCTGCTTTTCTACAAAGAATACAGGTTTTGTAGCTTTACAAAGGCTTCATAAATTATAATGTATATACACATATTCTCAAAGAAGCTTGTACACATATACACAAGAATACAGGTTTTCAGATGGGGAAAAGGTTCTGAAAAATTATTCAGAACAGTGGGATATCACAATATTAAACAATGAGTGCCAGTGAATGATTCCCTTATAGACCTAACGTATAAGATCACAGCCATAAATGCAAGAGAGATGATTAATTGTAGCGTAGGCCAATGTTTCTCAATTTTGGCAACTCTTGAGATGTATGGACTTCAACTCCCAGAATTCCCCAGCCAGCCATGTTCAAGTCCACACATCTTAAAATTGCCAAGGTTGAAAAACACTGGCCTTGGCAATACTATCATTTTACTATACTTCTGGATTTATAGTTTGCAACTTTAAAGTGAGTGGGGCTAAAAATACAAAAAAAAAAATCTAGTATAGAGGTTAGTTTCTGAACGTGATGAGATGAAAACATGATACACATATACACACACACACCACAAACATTAATCTTTTACTAAATCTGATCTCATTGGTATGGGTATGTTGTATAATCAATACACACATACACACCTGTTTCACACTGGTGGGGTCCAAGCAGGAAAAAAAATCTACTACATGAGGGATGGTCATTCAGTCATCTTACATTATAACCAATGCTCCAGTGTCCAAATTCTTTCTGTCGGGGAAATATCTTTAGTAAATATATCAAAGACAAATAACTGTCCCCACCCCCCCAAAACTGGTTTTAAACATTTCAAGAAGACCACCAACACAACAAACCTATTTCAAAACAGGGAATTTGCTCTAATCTTCGGCATCCTGGTTCAAATGTTATGGGGGGAGGGAAATGGCTCCTGTGACTCAGTATTTGTTGTTTCTTTGCATAATTTCCAATGAAATACATGAGGCTATACCATTCTTTTGCTATATCTTGAATTAAAGCTATAAAAGGTTGAAATGAAGATTGTCCATTGGGTTCAAATGCTTGTATTTGGGCAGTTGTTCCATATGCAAATTTTCTTAAATCCATAATTCCAGAAAATATACACGCTTATTCCTTGGGCGTTTGTTGTTTTCCTTGATTCCCATTTATAGCACAAACAGGTATGTAACTTTATATGGAGAAGCTCCACTATTAGTTCAAAATCCATATGCAGATAAGCTTTTCAATTTCCCAAAAGTTTAAATCACATAGATTTCAATATCTGATTTTATTTTATTTATTTATTTTAAAAAAACTTTTTAAAGGTATCTAAATTCTACAAAGGTACTTGGCCAATGCAGGGTTGCATTTGACATGCACTTAAATGGTAGAGAAAGACTACTTTACTATATTCCAAAGCTATTCCAATCAATGGCTAAACTATATTTAGTACTTTGTAGACATTGTGTGATAGATGGCAAGCCAGGATGTTGCCTCCTGGGCTTCGGTTAGTGATCTCAGTAAGCTAAGTTTGCTTCTTGAACTCTGATAGCTTCTCGTACTCCGAAGAGAACTTTGTAATTTAGGTGAGAATATACTTGGATGCTCTGACAATGAACCGAAGTAGATGAATACTGGATGGGACCACGCGGTCTTCAGATTAGTGAAGATGCTGCCATTTTATGCATCTCTCAAAGTAATTTCAGTGAGCTGGACTACAGGATACTAGATGGTCCTCTTGAAGAGAAAGTGTTTGTTTCATCTGCTCTTCCATGGCACAACTAAAAGCAAAGGAATCTGAAAATGATGCTGGAACCAAGTTTAAAAGCTGACCAAAAAGTGGGATGGGGAGGAGCTATGGAAAGAAAACACAAAATAGCATCTATTGACCAGGGGGAAAAAAATCTGTTCTTTTTTTCAGGACCCTGGTATACTAACCTTGAGTAAGACCTACCTACGTCTCTCTTGCTATATACTGCATATTTATAAGTATGTATAGAAGTGATTGCATGCACTGATGTCAAAAGGAACAGTACACAACTCGGGGGAAATTCTGTTCCCTGCATTCCTTAGGTTCCCTATTTTTTCCGAGCTACAATGGCTACTCCTATGATCACAGCTATGGCAGCTACTGCTGCCCCTCCAAAGATGAGCAGGGGCTTGATGTTCTCAAACATGCTACTCCCTGGCGACTCCTCTGCACTGTTCTCTTTATGCTCGGAGTTAGCAGGATGGGCACTTGCTTCAGGCCCCTCAGCTGCTGGCACTGTGGCAGGCTTCAGATTGCTGTGGTCATTCAGCATGGCTGCCTCGCTGGGTGCTGTGGCCCCTTTCTTTGCAGGGGTGGTGGCAGCAGGAGTTGGCTGCTCCTTAGGAGCTTCTTTCTTATCAGCACTTGCCGCCGGCCCAGAGTGAGGTTTCTCAGACTTTGCTGAGCTAGCAGTCTTGCTATCAGTCTTGTTTCCACTTCGGGTGCTTTCTTTAGACTCCATTCTGCTCATGAGAGTGGCAAAGGTGGATATCACCCAAACTCAGCTCAAACCAAAGCAGAGGGATGTGAAGCCGGCAGTTGAGATGGCTCTCTTCAGTTGGCCCTTCTCACTAGCCCAAAGGGAGGACCTGCCTCTCACTTCTGGACCTTGGGATAGCTGTGGCTCTGTCTCTCCAAAAGGTGTCTTGCTCAAGCGATACCTTGCCTGAACATAGTACAACTCCTGTAAGATCAAGCAGAAACACACAGGTCAGAATATACAGCAATACCCATATAAAGCAGCATTCTTCCCACCTTGAATTTGGACATGATTTTTCATTTTTAATTTCAGTTTGTACTATAGCATTTTTATGCTATGTACCAGTAGGGTGATATGCCTGCTGTTACAGCAAACTCAGTTATGCTCCAACATTTCCCCCCATTAGTAGCATTATATCTTTGGACAATATTCACTCTCCGTTTTCATGCCCTGGACCATAACTGGAGCCTTCCATTCAGTCCCCTGCATAATCTTTGAGGGCACCTCAATGATCAGTCCACAAGGTTTCCAAAATCTTTATACTGCTAGTTTCAGATTAGGAATTTGAACTTAATAAAATGTGGATAATCACTTCCTGGTGACAGTTACTGGGAACAGTAAGAGATAAGCAGCAGATCTTTAAATGTGAAACTCCCTATGGTAACTGGATCTATTAATGAGTTTCCTTGTACAAAAGCACTTCACTGGGCTTTGAAACTCTGATGGCTCAGGAGGACCTAACAGTACAAATTGTTTACAGTATTCCTGATTCATGAGCATGTCAGTTCATATGTCAAAGCATACTTACAGTCCATTTTTCCATTTTAGTGATCTGTTTGTATCACTAAATTGTTTGTAATGGGTTCGGAATAGCCTATATTTAGTTTAAAAACTAAACAAAAAAAAGCTATGACTTAATACCAGATCTTGTAATTGAAAGAATAAGATTCACTCAGGCAGAACTAGAGAAGCCTTAAGTTTGGCCCATCATGATATCTTAGGATGACTGCACAGTAGAAATAATTATTTACATGTTTAGCTAAATATGAATATCATTTATGTACACCAGTCTTTAAGCATCAGGTCAGTTCATGCATTCAGCTGCATGTAATGAAAAAATAGTGGTTCATATCAATAAGTACTTAGAGTAAATAAAATAACCAAAATCTATGATCATGTCTCCGGGGCATAATATGTCAATCATCACAAAGCAAACTGCCAGAATCATTGGCTCACCAGTGACTATCCAAAACTAATCTAATGCTTGATAAACTCTTTCTATAGAGCTATATATCAGAACACCATCTAAACCAGGCATGTCAAACTGCCGGCCCATGGGCCGGATGCATCACGCTGAAACCGCGCCCACCCCTTTGCCGGCAATGGGGAAAAAGTCCCAATACGTCATGCAACATCACGTGACATCGCAAGTTTGACATGCCTGATCTAAACTGTACAAAGATTGATTTTCCAAATAGCCTACTTTTTCCTGTGCCTGGGCAAAAGATAAAATTAAACAGTTTCTATTTTATACCAGCTTCAACTGACTTCTCTCTGCATTTTCTTAATTTTGGAAGTAGTAGAGCTGGTATCTAGAATGGGTTTTTAAGTATGGTACAGAACTTCTCTCTCCCTCCCATGATTCCACCCTTGATCAATCTTTCTCCATGTTTCAGGTTGGCTGGCAAGCAATTCATACTTTTTCTCCACAGCTTCAGCATTCTGTACTAATGACAGCACTCACAAAACATGGCTTGCAAAGCCAACCATACTCACTTTCCTTTCTTTAGTATTCTGCAATAATATTCACTTTTGCCAAATCACTGGTTTCTGTTAATATTTCTGCAAAACGGAGAAAGTAGAACTTACAAAACAGATAATTAAAAAGGAAAAAAATAAACAAACCCAGTAGAATGCTATCTTCAGGGTGAACACTATTTTTAAAGATGTGTACTGCCAAGAAGTAGCTAGCTAAGAGGCACAGGGGACATATCGGAGAAGAAAAGTAGATGTAGACTTCCGGGTTAGACATTGTGGCATTACGGGTGCAGGAAAACAGGGCTCCGTCTTCCACATCCTATTTCGCTCTGCTGGGGACCCTAAAAAGGGCCTAAAGTTGCCCCAGAGAGGCGACAAAGAAGAAGGGGACCCTCGTCGATCGCAGAGGGGCGGTGGCCCTTATGTTTGATCCAAGGAAGCCCTTCAAACTGGCAGAAGAAAAACCGGCCGCATTTATGTGGCCAGCAAGCAAAAAACGTTCAGAAAATGACCATAAAGAATGAACTACTGGTAGTAACTCAGAAAGTAGAAGAAAAAATAGAGAAAACTGATATAAAGATAGAGGATTCAAAAGAAGAAACCAACAGAGAGGCAAAGATAAATAAAAATTTGGAAGACCCAGATACAACACCGGAAATGGGAAAGACATTTTACTTTTCAGGACTTCAGAACATATTTGAAGACAAGGAAGAAGAATTGATAGAATGGATGACAGAGCTGTTAGGAAAAATGCTGAAAACCGGGGAACAAGAAACTGAAAGAGAAACTGAAGAAAGAAAATGGAGGCTGTTTAATGAATATAAATGGATTAAGCATTTTTACAAAAACACTTTAAATTGTCTTTTTTATTCCAAATAATATATACAGAAACAGAGGAAGAAATACTTGGTGACCTAAATGTACTGACTTGCAAAGTTACTTAGCAAAGGAAGAAAGCTAGAGTAAGACTGAAGAAAATAGAGGTCCTGACTAATTAGATAGGTATTATACCATCTAATGGATGTTTGAATATGATTAAAAGAATAGACAATTGTTAGAAATAAAAGGACCATTATAAATTAGAAAGATGTGATTTGTAACTAGAATAACATAATTTTCTATAAGATGGGAAATATGAAAATACTAAGAGGGTCAGTATAAGGAAAGCTTTTAGTTACCCAAATGTAATTAATTATGAGGAAAAAATGATAATTGATAAAGTTATTTTGAATATTGATGGGAAATTAAAATTGAAAAAAAGAGAAAAAAACAGGATACGGATTGAATAAGGAAACTTTGTAAATACATTTGAGATATGTTTTGGCTAGAGAAGATATTATAAACTGATATTATTGACACTATGTATAACATTAGAAACATGTGATGAAGATGTTTATATTTAACTGTATAGGTATTAATAGCAGTAAGAATTATACTTGCATGGTGTGGAAAAATGATTATTATTGGAACAAGAGAGGACCAGGGAAATACTGGATTAAATCACATCAATTGAACCTATTCAATTCCAGCTTCTTTTCTGATGGGAATGTTATTCTGCATTCAGTGGGCTTGACCTCTCCCAGTGATTCAAGTCTTCATCCCATCCCCAATCTTATAAATTCTTCCTTCCCAAGAAGAATAGAAATGAAGCATATTTCTTTTTTCTTTTTGACCATACTGCTGAAATAGTTACCCTGCAAAAAAATGAATGAGTCACTCTATTTTTCTTATAGGGTTCTTAAATAAACATTTTTTCTACAAGTACCATCCTGTGACCAGCACTTGTTGTTTTCTCTTTAAAATATACCAGATTAACAACAGGGATATACACTGTTCCAGACAACTACTTTCAGTATTCCTGGTCAGTCTGCATTTTGGTATTTAATTCAAGTTGTTTTTGACCAGGGCGCTCTATCAGGCACAACTCCTTAATATAGCAGAAGTCAAGCAAGATAAGAACTTTGGACTGCATTAATTGAGGATTTGTTTCAGATTCAGTTTGTCAACTTGATTCAATTGAAATCAAACAATATTAATATTTCAATATCTAATAAAGCTCTGGAAAATTGATCCCTTTGATTAGAAAATCCCAATCACTTAAACATCCTGCTCTTGCATCTTGGAATTCATAGACAAAGTAAAAATCACCATTGGTTGTGTGTGTGTGTGTGTGTTGTTGTTGTTGTTGTTGTTTTTGCAGATACAGCTAGGTTTATCACATTCAGTCATAATTTCTACCTGTGATTTGCTGAATAAATCAAATCACTGATTAGATCAGCTGTCCCCAGTCTGTTCCTCTTCAGGGTTCTAAGATTTCAGTACCCAGGACAAGAATCAAAAATGCTGTGGGAATTTTAGTATTGAATCAAGGAGATTAAATTTACCAGTCTTGTATGTACAATTACTTGTATAAGCACCTCACCTAATAGATCAACTATCTCTCATGTTTTTATTCTAAAATTCAAAAATCAGAAGGTAATAACTTTATTAGATTTTTTAAAAATTTCACACAGTCTTGTGTGACATTTTTAAAAAATCTAATAAAGTTATTACCTTCTGATTTTTGAATTTTAGAATAAAAACTTGGGAGATAGTTGATCTATTAGGTGAGATGCTTATACAAACCTACAAGACTGTGTAGGTTTTCAGATTTTCTTGAACTCTTCATCAATAAAAATGGCAAAGAAATGGAATGCATTCTACTTGATGAGGAAAATCATTTTATATATGAATTATTAGGCTTACTACATCAGAACTGTAAAACTGACCCATCTAGTGGTCATCTAAAGGCTTGCAAACCTGATATGGCAGAATTGCTACTGGCTTTGTGCTTTCAAAATTCTCTCTCCCTGGGATTAGGTATGACCTGAAGTTATCAACTTGCAGCACTAATTAGATATTCCGTCTTCAGGATGATGCTGAGTTGAAAGTTTCATGATTTAAACATTTGGCTCTGGGGAGCTTCTTACTTCTCTCCTGTGCTCTGCTTTTCCTTTTTACCTTTTCTGACATCTTACCTAATGAAAATTTTGTGGAGAATTCAAAGTCTTTCACATGCTTGGAATCAATTGAGTTATTGCCACCCCTGCTCAGTCAACATGGCTATAACTGTTCATTATGAGTGCCTATTTTATTGTTTTCCTTTAATTGCATTCCTTCCTGGACCTTTTTCCTCTCCTGTTGTCATAAATTAATATATATTGCACTGTTAAATATAGTGATGTTTATAGAAACATTGCTATTTTTTTTCCAATAAATA